TTGGGGTCTGGGCCATTACCTCAGCCTCATTGCCCAATGAATCGCTGTCAACTTTGCTCAGCATTGTAATGGGGATTTGCTGGTGTACCATAAACAAGCCAAATTCCGCAATTCTACCACCCTTAGCCAATGTTCCCTCCTACTTTTTCCTGATTTTTCTGATTCCATTTCTAGTCACTAGAGCCTGATGTTTCCCCTTCTCATTGTTCTTTCCTTATTTGTCATTATCGGACTCTTCTGTGATACCATGACCAGCTGTATAGTTAGCTAGACAGTTAAGAGTAGTGGAATCCACTCCCAGTTAATGAACCTGTGCATGCATCCACTCCAACCCTCCCCCTCTCTTCTGTCTTGAGTCTAGTTGGATAGACCCATTACAGCATTCGTTCCCAGTGGTATCAATGGCATTTCACTGGCATTGAGGACCATAGTGTCAGGGGCTGCGTGTCAGTTCACGACGATAAGGGTGTTCCCAAGAATCCTAGTCATTGTTAACACTGAGGTGCCACCCTCAGTGGAGATAGGAGTTATATGCATGGGTACCACTACCCACTAGAGTGTGGCTACAACGAGATAAGAGATAGCCGATAGAATGACGACATGAAAAGATAGCTATTCATTTGGATAATCGTAAGCGAGGTGTGGGAAAGGGGTGACATGTGGATGGAAGATAGAAGCAGGATGCTAAGCGAAAGCTAAGCGAGATTACCTGCGTTCTTCGGATCTCTCCAGATCGTCTTACAGCAACTCCCTTCCAGCATAGGGAGTCAGGGTAGCTGGTTAGGCCATGCCCTGACACATAGGTCTGCCCAGTCTGCCATGAAACTCTCGAACAGGGGTTCGTCTGACTCTTCCCTACCAAACAATATGTGGGAGGTGTACTGTGTATATGGTGATGCAGAAGTACCAGCCACTGGTGGGCAGGTCTGAGAGCAGGTCATGGGTTTGTGAGACATGGTGTTGATGTCAAGAGTGAGGGGAGTCCGAAAATACTGTCAGGGTGTGGGAAACGTTACTGTGGCTCGCTGTCAGTGACCGTTAAGGTCCGCTGGCTTGGTGTAACAGCCCATTAAGGGTGGGTGTTACAAAAATGGGGCCGGAGGCGCCCATTTTCGTCCGTTCGAGGCACAGGAAAGGGGAAAGGTTGGGGAAGAGGGTTCATAACAAGTTACAGATGTTGTTATAGATGTTGTAACATGGAGTTTAACAGATAGTTTAACAAATGGGTTTTCAATGGTAATAGTTGGATAAACTCTATTTATTTACATATCATGTGATTTGGGTGTGTGCAGGGCCCATAAGAGTCTAAATTGGGAAATTTCCCATTTCCATAACAGTGGGATTGACAATCACGGTGAAGTGGGGTTTCAGCTTCAACGACTTGTTCATGAGCATTGCACCTCATACTTGACACGGCCCCGATATTTCAGGGTACAGAGGGTGTGACTGAGTCAGACAAGACACACAGGGGGTAACCCTAGATGATTTTCGAACTGAGGTATGAGGTAGTGTACAACTGGTATTTAGGTGTAATGGAATGAATGGGAATTAGTCACCAGATCTCATGGAGATTGTGGGCAGTTTTAAGAAAGGATAAAAACAAACAAAGAATGTGGGAGAAGGATGGCTGTGCATGGCCATCAAGAAAATAGGGAATGAACATAGGCCCATTGCAGGCCATGAAAAAGGTAACAACAATGGGGAGGGGTAATGGGCTCGTCCAGGTGGCATTGGGTGGGGAGTGGAGTGGATGGGGTTGGAGCAGAGGTGGGAGAAGGGGTGGGGAGTGAGCACCTGACTGTGGGAATTCCCGGGTTGTGACACATAGGTTCTGTCCCCATCCTGGGGTGCTGACTGGTGTCAAGCTCAAAGGGGGTGTGGTGGGTGGATGCATGGATGCAGTTGTCATGGGAGAATTCTGCTAGCAGGAGCCAATCCACCCAGTCATCCTGGCAGTGGTTGACAAACACTCGGAGGTAGGCTTCTATCTGCTGGTTCACCCGCTCCATCTGTCTGTCTGTTAGAGACCGGAGGTGAGACAAAGGAGATGTCTCCATGGCAGAGGGCTTTGGCCTCAGCGACTCAGACCAGGAGTGCTGTGCCTAGTAACATGTCCATGCCCTAATTTACTTACTGGCAGCGAGAACTAAAAGGGGGATCAACTCTAGTTGATTTTATCACTGGGGTGTAACCTATCTACAAGTTAAGTATATATAGTTACAGCAAGGGTGGGCCCATGAATGGCAGGACCAAGTGGAGCAGAGCTAACAGAGTTAAACATTAGCCAACTGAATATTACCAACGAGCCAGGTTATGGGGTTAGCAGAATGGCAGGCTATAACCCAGAAACAGAAAGGAGGGATAGGCCTGAAGGTAGACTTGCAGGGCAAGCAAGTGAATTGCCCAGCAGGGGTGGGAGTGCACTAGCAGACGTTGGAGCTGTCCGGAGGCCTTCGGGGCTCCGTACTTAGGGAGGCATAGGTAATATATTGAATTGAAGGGGTGGTGACCATCGAGGGAGTTGGAGGTGATTGTGGAATATGGGGGCTCCGAGGTTAGTGAGGAAGGAGTGGAGGTAGTCCAGAAGGATTGGAGGTAGTGGAGGACGATGGCCATAGATGGATATGACACTGTCTGTCTGTGGGCGGTAAGGTGCAGAGGGGGTTAGCTTGACCGCTAGCAGGGCTGCTAGCTCTTTGGAAAACTGAGAGATGAAGGTGCTCCCTCTGTTGCTGAGAATCTCCTTGTGGAGGCCATGATGCTTCTAGATGTGCTCAAGGAAAAGTTGGGCGATTCCCACCAAGTCTACCATCACAGCTGTGGGGATTGCATGGATGTGCTTGGAAAGATGATCCACCATGACCAGGATGGCATTGTAACCTCTTGACTTGGGGAGCTCTCTGATCCTATCTATGGAGATTACCTGTCAGAGACCAGATTCGAGACAAAGGATTGTCTCCGTAACGGAGGGCTTCGGCCTCAGCGACTTCTGCCAAGAGCGCTGTGCCTAGTGACACGTCCGTGCCCTAACTTACTGACTGGCAATTAGAACCTAGGGGGTAACTCTAGTTGATTTTTCTACTGGGGAGTAACCTATGTACAAGTGGGATATATATATGGTTACAGCGGGGACGGGTCCGCAATTGGCGGAGCCGAACGGAGCGGAGCTAACGGGGTTTAACCATTAGCCGACTGAATATTACCGACGAGTCGGTTCGCGGGGTTAGCGGAAAGGCAGGCGATAACCCAGAAACGGAAAGGAGGGATAAGCCCGAAGGTGGACTCTGCAGGGCAGGCGAGTGTATTGCTCAGCAGAGGCGGGGGTGCGCTAGCGGACGTCGGAGCTGTCCGGAAGTCTTTGGGGCTCCGTACTTAGGGAGGCGTAGGTAATAAATTGAAATGAGGGGGTGGTGACCATCGAGGGGTACCGAGAGGATTGCGGAATACGGGGGCTCCGAGGTTGGTGAGGGAGGAGCGGAGTTGGAACGGAGGGATCGGAGGGTCCGGAAGTCGATGGCCGGGAATGGATATGACATTACCTGCCAGTGGTGTGTGGGGATCTTGTTCGGCATGAGTTTCCCCACCTTCCACAAGGGAAATGATTTGACCTGGTTGCAGGCATCACATCCCACTACATTGTAACAGGTCAATTGCCTTGACTCAAGACAGAGAAGAGGGGGAGGGTTGTAGTAATGTGCTGGTGGTTCGTGGGGCCGGGTTTTGGTCTGGGGGCAGTACTAGGTCTGCAAAAACCTCAAACAACCACTCACCTACATCTCTCTTGGATGTCAAGGCTGAGAATTATGATTGGAGGGAGTTTAGCAGGCTTAGAGTGGCATTGGGGTTGTGAATGGCATCTTCGCCACTTGGATGTAACTAGTTTTTACTCCTTCACAGGTCTATTCAGTACTAACTTGTTATGTACAAGGTTTTTCTATTTTATATGGACTGGAAATGAAATGAATGGAATGGGGAAATGCAAACAGGCCAATAGGAAACCATAAATAAAGAATGTCCAATCAGGGACAGAGAAAGATATATGAATGAATGGGGGAATTGTGACAACGGATCCAAAATGGAAATTGTAAAGGTTAACTCCACAACACTTTGAGTGCCCACCTATCCTCTGGTCAGCAACCTCATCTCCAGCTTTCCAACGAACCCTCATTTGTCCCAATTGGTGCAGTAGTTCCTGAGATATGGCCATTGACAGGTGCTGTCAAGACCATGTGAGGCTCTACACTGTGCTGAACCATCCAAGTATGGGATTTCCATTCTGGGAAATGCTCCGTGGGTAAAGGGGGGAGGTAGAGTGTCACCATCGGGTAGAAAAACGGCTAGGTTTGATGTGTAGTTGTGGAGGTCTGGGGAGGGGGTGAAATTGGTGGTGTGGTTGGGAATGTTGGGAAAAATATGGAAAAATATGGAATGAGTGTATGGAGAGTAGGATAGTGAGGGAATGAGCAATGGAAGCATCGGCGGGTATGTAGTGTGCATTGTTGGGCAGAATCCGCAGAATCCGACTTTTGCGGTTGCACGGACTTGTCCCCACAACAACGTAGTGTACTCCGCCATCTGGGGTCACCAGTAGTCACGGGAGATGAGCTCCAGGGTCTTCCATTACCCTGGGTGCCCTGTCGCCTGCGTGTCATGGTGTAGCTGCACCAAGTCGTGGCGGAGTTGGTGATTTTTGCGGGATGTACTGGGGGAATGTTTTAGGTCTACTCTTTCCCCCTCCTCCGCGCGGAGCACTCCCTCCCATAGAGCGGAAGAGTTCTCACTGTTACTGATGTTGTGCCTTAGTTAAACTCCCGTTCCCGCTAACGCTTGGCTTCAAATCAATGATGCAGCGTGGCATCAAGACTCTTGATATGGACGTTCGTTGAGTTTCTTCTCTTTCATGGTACTTTCTCAACTTAATGGACTCATTCCGCTGCTTCTCGGGTTAGAAAATGGTCAGTATATTGATCCGTTCCGATATTTTCTTGTCCCGGCTATTGGCTGAAGGCCAATTGTTTCCTGCCCATTTATGCACTGCCCTTCGTACAGCCGCAGACTCAACGCCAGATATGGCTGCCCATTCGGCTCCGTGCTGTCCGGAGCTAACGTGCCACCAGCCATTGGACCAGGGGCTCCAGGTTACAAGAAACTTTTTGCTGACGAAAAGGATAATCTGCAGTTTGCAGAGGAGCAATATAAGTGGGTTTTCGATGGCGTAGAAACCGGAGTGTTGGAGCAATGGGGCAAGATACGTGCTATAAAGTGACCCTAGCATGGTGCATTGTTCGGCTACGGCCCCCCGCGTCTTATGTAGGTGTTTCCTGTCCCGTTGGGCGTTGTGATCTAGGGATTATTGTTATTATTTTAAGGACAACAGCTCAGGCATATTGAAGGCAAGTTGCCCTGCCAGTAGCTGGTTCCAGTATGGATGAATTCGGCCACCTCGCCCATTTTGTGTCGTGATTTAAGGGTTATCGTTACGATGGAGGTCCAAGGATGTGGTATTAAATCTCCGCCCAGAGTGATTATGTTCCAGGTGTCGCAGCCAACCGATAAGCGGCACAGCAGCGGCCAGCAAGCGCCGGGTGGTCTTAGCTTGGCAATATTCGTGACCCCCCACAGGTGCGAACTCTCACGCTCATTTTACTCGGCAGCGGGAACGCCGGAAAGAAGCCTCCACCCAATGGCGGAGCATGGGCTATTGGATCAAAACAAGTTGGGGCGCGTGGTTGATTGCATCGGTCTATCCACAGATGTCTACACAACAAGTTCTTGAACTTCTAATCTCAGTTCAAGGTCTCGATCAACATTGCGATACTTACCCGAATGCCGCAGGCTTCGACTGTTGCCTCTCTGCGACGCCCCCCCTACTTTAACCCCAGAGTCTTCTTGCTTCTTTCCATCTCGACACTTCGCTGCTGCGGCCCTTCAGCATAGCAAAACCAGCAACCCGCTATGAGTCCCGAGGCTATCAGGAACAAGATCAACCTTGAGAATGGGAATGTATGTTTTCCGCTTGGTTTCGATCAACAATGCTAACGACAATTTGTAGCTCGTTATTGGTGCGTATCATATGAAGCCCTCACACTTGCGATGTGACGAGACGAGACGGGACTCTGACCCCTCTTTTACGTTCTTTTTAGTCGCTAGTCTTACTGTCTTGATCTGGGACTGGTTGATCTGTCTGGACCGTGAAGTAAGACGATCAAGAGGCTCGAAGGGAGTGAAGGTGTGATTGACGCTTTTCAACAGCGGCGACATTTCTGGGGATCGAAGCCGAACGCGGGGACTGTCCTATACTTTCTTGTAAGTAAGCTAGTAAGCTATGTCGGCGTGTTAACTGGTTGTGCCCTCCTTCTAGAATAGGTAACCCTTATTGATACAGGCATAGGCTTGAGCAAATCTGACTTTGGGGAGCGTTAATTAGAGGGGTTTCCATGCTGGGCGCCATCCTACATCTCCAGAGTGGGTGTTAAATTCTACTTGGTACTATCATTCTATTGGGTTTGTTTCTGATCATTTCTGTATCGAACCAGCATCGATGTACAATTTTGCTCCTCATACGCAACTTAAAGTACGCTTAAGCATCCTTAAAGCCCTGCCCCGTTATGCCCGAACTCGTTTGTTCCCCTCCTTAATTAGCTATGTGGGCCCCTGATCCGCACCGTTACCTCTCTTTCCGCTCTCAATATTGCAGTCGTACAGGGTATGCACAATCACGCCTTGAGTCCGCTACTTAGGAGGGGAGGTTGACTACCGTTCGCTATAGTTATTTTAACGATGCGTACATATGCACTGTACAGTTGCAACAAGGTACTCTTATGGGCGCTTCTCGTTCTCGTCATGGTGCGTGTAATGCATCAGACTTTAAAACATACCTCCCAGACAGAATCTGACGTTATGAATCATCGGTTAGGGTGGATTGCTGAATCAAGTGCTGTTCATGTGGCTCGGCCCGTGGACAGGTATGGGCCGTATGTTTGCGACGTTGACCTTACCCTCTCATGCTTCACATTAGTTATCATAAACTCTCAGCCAGCTCCTTATACTGGGTGTCTCATTCGCTTGCCCACATGGTCATGGGAGCGACTCGTTCCGATTATGACCTTTGAAATCTGTATGTCTGACTCCATCATACTGGCTTGGAGCTGTTAGTGACACTCGCTGTGGTTGTAATTTTTAGTGTCAATAGTCTTGTTTGCGATCAAGTTCTGTTCTTACGTCAAGATGGGTTCAATGGGTGTAGTACCAAGGATGTTGTTCCGCGATGGTAAGATCGTCTCTTTGTCATTCATGTCCATTTGACGCTAACTACATCTGCATGTATTGACGTGCTCAATAAATAGGTTTTCTTGGGTTTCTTGGTGAGTGGCAAGCGCGAGGTTCAGATCGATGACTCATTTATTCGAATGGTTACGCTGCATTAGCCACTTCCAGTACGAATCTATATTCTCATGGGGAATACAGGCTTACATGCTGCTATTTAGTATGTACATCTATTGGGCTACTTGTCCAGATTTTACGGCCAGTATGTTTGCTGCAATTTGACGTCAATCTGAGTCAAAACTTACTATGCCCGTTCTCATCTTAGCGACCATTGCTTACTTTCGGCGTTGCGTAAGTCGGTCGGAATAGAGAGCACAGTTGTTGACAGGCATTCTCACTCTCGCCTAGTCTCACCCCATTGGTTCCCACCCTCGTTGCAGCCCACATGCTCCTCAATATTAGGGATGTTATGAAAGTTTCTTCTCCGGTAGCCAAGCCGACTGCCCCAACAGCAGCGCGACGTACACAACCTCGAAGTTCCCAGCCACCCGTAAGGGGGAGCTTCCCAGGTCAGCAAGTTGATGACGCTGGCCTCCAGAACCTGGTGCCTGATTTAGAGCGGAAGGGTGCAGACAGTGGAGGGAAGGACCACTATGATGACGAGGACGACGAGGACGATGATGACGATGACGTGGACGTGGACGTGGACGGAGACGGGGACGACGGTGACAATCGTCGCGACCGGAGGGGATATCACGGGTTTGGGAATGCGGACTCGCTCAGGGAGAACTGGTACGAGATGAAGGCTCGGCCATCCGAAACCCGGTACGATCCTAAAGGGACAGCGTCCCTCTCCCTCTCTGGACGAAATCCTGCTCCAAGTGAAGGAACACACCCAGCATCGCCCGCTCCCGTAGCACTACCAGCGTCCACTAGTGTTATCCCCGGCAACGAAGCTGCGGCGGGTAGTAGTGTTGGAGGGCCATACCTTCCCCAAGAACGGACGTATCCTTTGCGGGCTGGTGGAAGACGGTTAGAAACGACCTTTTCCCAGCGTTCGGAGGAAGGCGATGTGATTGATATTCCGTAGTGAGAGATAAGGATGTGTCTGCTTGGTGGTAGGGAACATATCCACTCCTTTTTTTATTTCATTTTAATTCGCAGAAGTTCTATCTTGCTTTGCTTTTCCTACCCCCCCTATCCCGTTTATCTTGGTTAAGGATGACTGTTTGTATTGTTGCATCTCGAAGCTCATAGATGATGGTTGAGAGCCGTGAGAATTATGTAGTTCATGTGAAAGTTGAAAAGCAACTCATTCCTGATGAATGGCCCGGGGGTAGACCCTGTTAATCTGAGCAGCACGATATGTCGATTAGTGATGTATCGGCTCTCAGTGCAAGTCCTGTCCTTATATACCTCTAGTGTTAGTTCTATGCCACTGAAGTGAAACACGAGCAGTAGTCAAAGTGTGAAAACAAAGGCCCAAAGCAACATTGTGTTCACCGATGATGGCCCCAAAAGCGCCTCCTCCTAGGCAGGATCCCAGCCTCTACTAAAGTAAAGGCTGGGACCCGACTGACCCTCTTGAATAGTGGTTAGATATGGAACTGCCGAGTAAGGGAAAGTTGAATAGTGTTCAAAAATGGAAGTGCCTCATAAGGGAATATCCATCAGACAACCAATAGAGCTGGCCATTCCATTTAATTTTTTTGTATTGTACATGTAGCCAGTATGACTCAGCACTTTCTTTTGTATTACTGTACACATAATTATGGTGACTAATGAACTTCAACAACTTCTTCAATTCACACTCCCTGGATTTGCCAACAGACCGATGACCCAAACCCTGACAGCACCAAACAGCACCTAAGTATCAGTGTCATATCCATCTACGGCCATCGTCCTCCACTACCTCCAATCCTTCCGGACTACCTCCACTCCTTCTTCACTAACCTCAGAGCCCCTGTATTCTGCAATCACCTCCGACTCCCTCGATGGTCACCACCCCCTCAATTCAATATATTACCTATGCCTCCTTAAGTATGGAGCCCCAAAGGCCTCCGGACAGCTCCAACGTCCGCTAGCGCACTCCCACCCCTGCTGGGCAATTCACTTGCTTGCCCTGCAAGTCTACCTTCAGGCCTATCCCTCCTTTCCATTTCTGGGTTATAGCCTGCCATTCTTCCAACCCTGTAACCTGACTCATCAGTAATATTCAGTTGGCTAATGTTTAACTCCATTAGCTCCACTCTGCTCGGTCCTGCCATTCATGGGCCCACCCTCACTGTAACTATATATATACTTAACTTGTAGATAGGTGACACCCCAGTGATAAAATCGACTAGAGTTGATCCCCCTTTTAGTTCTTGCTGCCAGTAAGTAAGATAGACGACTTACATATGTAATTACTATCTGGGAGCAAATCATTGCAAAACTTGCATCCCATCCCATTCTCGACTCAATGCTTTTGGGACTGGCAGGGGACCTAAAGGCTATAGAGGTGATGCCATTTTATCATTCCCTGGTTTCCAAATACCCGGATTCTTGGAAAAAAAAAATGAACACGTTGAAAGTTTGCTGGCATGGCCTCAGCAAAACTAAATTATGGGGATTGCCAGATACAGAAAAGGAAACCATAAGTGCTCTACCCTTTCCCCTCCCAAGTGCACCCATGCCAATACAGAGGAAGCGCTGTTGTGCAAATAACCTTGGAGAATACTCACATCAGCAAAAGTCTGTTATGCTCCGGAGCATCAAGAGTGGCTGGAGCATGTGGGAGACAAAACAGCAGATTGGAGCCAATAGTGTTCTCCTGGGAGGGGTTCAGGAGCAGCTGGGAGTGGTGAGGAGTATGCAATGTACCAGGAGCAGTGGGAGGAAAATTTTGGTCTCTAAAAAGTTGAAAAAAAAATTTAGGGAAAAAATCAAAGGAGGGGTTCAGGAACTATAGTGTCTTTAAAGTGCTTTCAGGACATATAATTATTTGCAAAATTGAGGAAGAAATGATGGAGAAAAATGGAAAATACTTTCAGAGACCCAAGAAATAATGAGTACTGAATTGATGGGAAAGTCTGAAAATTGAATAGGAAAGTGAGGGGAACCCTTGTAGCATTGTTATTTTCTGCTGTTCTGATTTTTCCTGATTGTTCTTGGTCTCACTCCCAGCTGCTCCTGGACCCTCCCAGTGTCAGGGATCAGCAATGACCCTGGACCCTATGCCGGCTGCGCGTATGCGCATGGGAAGTATGCCGGTAATTCCCGTCTACTCCGCTTACCTAAGCCCCGGTGACCCGGATCATCTCCGGCATTGTTCTGGAACATTCTATGATCACGTGATTCTATCGGCAATCTGTTTGGTTTCCTTATTGCTGGACTCTACATGTATATAGCTGACCCTAAGATGGGGGCATCCCTTTCCCCTGGCTTTAATCACAACTAGGTTATCG